TAAAGGGCTAACAAACACGGCCGTTGGAAGCGGTGTGGCTCTGCACCGAGAGGTCCCTATTTACTGTACTGTACAGTGAGAGGGGTTTGCTATTGACTCTGCCTTTCCTCTTCATTCTTACCTTAACGACTAGTGGTGATATAATATACAGAACTGTATTGATGTATCGGGAGTAACAGGAGGAGCCATTAAACAGGAGAGAGAGAAAGTATAATCACAAAATGTGCCTCGATATTTAAACTTAGCGAGTGTGTGCTTAGAAACGCACACGCACCCTCCCCTCCGTGGACTCCAGGCAGCAAGGGCACATGCCTTATTCTGTGCACCACGCTCCTGTCCCGGGCTGAGCAAGAGACTGTCTTTTTGGACTCGTGCCTTGACCACGCTCCAGGAGAGGGCAAGTCCTCAGTGACAAATACTTATGACAAAAATAGTGCAATCGACTTCTCCTGGCCAGAGGTATGTGTTATTGTCTGAGGTGCTTACGCAGGGGAGAAAAAAATGATGTTTGCCTTCTGTGCACGGGAAAGTTTAAACTCTCTAAGTTTGTGTTTTCTTGCGATCTTTCGTTTGCATCGGCTGAAAAAGTGGCGCTTACTGCTTAGAGACAGCTACTCACTGCATTTCAATTTCAGGTTTTCGTCTCTTTTTAAATCGATTCCTTCCAGGACTCACCTAAAAGGCACACATCTGTGTGGGGATCGAGGTGACTTCAGGTGTGGCTCCTCGCCTCCTACCACACACACATAAATCCGGGAGTCGTTCTAGGAGGGCTTGTTAAATGCAAAGCAGTAGCAAATGGATGACAGGCACTTTTAACTGCAGCCTAAATTTAAATATAGACTCCAGCTTGGCCTAGAGTCACACCATTGTGGCTGGGGCAATCAGCAAACCTGTTCAAAGGGACATTTGGAAGGATGCTATGCAGAGTCACTCATCTTTTAACACTGTCATGATGGGAGGGACCAGCATTTTCACAGAAGAGAGACCCACCTTGTAAGGACTGTTTGTTCAAGGTACAAACCAGAATCTATTTCTCTACACCTTTTATTATTTCAAATGTATATGGAGGGCTTACATCAAAACTACAGGCGACAATTAGTATAAATAACGCTTTAATCAATGGCAGCAAAACATTGGCAAAGTCTATGGAAAGTATCACACTTTAACAGAGATGAGAGTATTGCTGGACAATGCGACCGTTTAACAAAGGCTCCAATGCACAATGTTTCACCCATGATAAACAAAAACAACCAGCTTCCCTTCCTACACAAAATAACTCTGGAGGAGAGTTAAAAAACAATTTAAAAAAACCCTCAGGTTCGTTTTCCACGGGATGTAATGAGCAGTGGGTGCTCCTGGTCGTTATTACAGACATTCCTGACCCTTCAGAGCATTGGCAACTGGACACAATTTCTTTAGGTACTTTCTGCCTCCAGTTCACGTATTCTCTCTGCGAGGCTACAGCGCAATTACAGCTATGTAAACTTACAGTGCCCCAGCCTCGCTCAAAGGGGACTTGCGAACAGGGTTGTAAGAGCTGTGCCTGCTGAACCCAACACTCCTCCTGGAGATATTAACATTTCAAAAGACGATGAGACAAATTCTGCTCGCAGCTACATCCCTGTTTGACTTCAGTGGGCGGGGGAAGGAAATCTGGGAGCAGAATTTGGCCCTTTAACTTCGGGAGCCGTCTCGGTCGATAAGAAGCACAAAGCAAGGATTTGCTTATCCAAGGCCATTATTTTCCAGAACTGTACCACAGATGCCAAAGTTGGTAGCTCTCCCTCGAATAACACGTTTGCCTTGCTCCCAGCCAACTTATCACAGACTTTAAGTAAACAGCAGGGGTCCGGGAGGGGGGATTTTCAAGAAGAGCAGCCAGAGAAGTTTATCTTCTCTTCCCCCCCCGCGCTTTTTTTTCTCTACCTAGGTTTGTATGAAGAGCAAAGGGAGGGCTTTGGACAACTCTGGAGACGAAAGGCCGCTACCGCAGGAACCGGGTGTAACAAAACTTGAAAACTTGTCTCAGGAATTCCCTCCTCAAGCGCTGCTGCTAGCTGCTCTCCATGCCAGAGAAAGGGAAGGGTAGTTTGGGTCCAAAAGGTTAAGGGTTTAGAGGTCACTCTTCCCGGCTGAAATACAACTAATCGAATAGAAAATTTGTCCTCTGGATGAACCTGTTCCTGCAATTTAGCCGAACTTCAGTAAAATACCTTTTCAGCTTCTCAACGTGAAGGCGTCACAAAAAAGACGTCTTTACTATGTATGAACTCGGTGCTTTTTGTCATAGAAACAATGATGCGAATAATGCGGGAATATCCATCTTTAATATCACGACGTGGAGATATTCAAGTATTGCCATGTGCAAGTCTGAGAACTGGGCTAACCCTAAGGAAGAACAAAGAGTTTTCTCCAGGCTCTAAAACAAAAGACCAAGTCTTACAAGACACTTTGCGGAGTTCTAGGGATGAGAAAAGGGCAGAAATTAACCGCTGGCCACAGTTAATGCTGCCGAATACACTCCTGTTGAAAAGCTCGTCTTTTATTTTCGAATTCATTCAAGCCCATTTTGGCCAGTGTTTTCCCGAGCGAGCCCAGAAAGCAGTGAGTCCTCGGTGGGGAGCACCCAGCCTGGAGATGGGCACGTTAACTCACCCCCTGCTCTTTCCGCCTCCTTTCAGCGTTTGCTCTGGGTTTTCTTCTTTGCCCCTTTTCTCTTTAATAAAGGGATCATCTCGTTACAATGTCGATGATATGGTCTCTCTCCCAGGCTGCCCTGAGGGTACAGGAGATAAGGGCTGAGCTTTAAAATCGCCTGAGCGGAGGTGTGAGTGGCTGAGGGAGCTGGTTTGGCTGGGTTTGGTAGTTAGAGCGCACTAAAACTTTGGCACGATGCAGCCAGCAGCCAGGGACAAATCCGTGGGTATTAGACCAGCTCTGCTCCCATCCAAGCCTTTCCCCTTTCCCTGAAAGCAACTTGCTGAGATTTCCAACCATTGCAGACATGTGTCGTGGTTTGCTTAAAAACAATCACTGATCTTCAAAAAAAACCACCCCAAACAGACCAAAATAACCCCAAAACAAAGCAAAGCAGCAACACACATAGCCTCTCTCCCTCTTGGGCAGAAAAGAAATTTAAAATCTGATTTAAAGAATGCATTCAGCTTTCAGCTTTGAATGGCTCAGGTTATATCAGAAATCGCATTAATTTTTCACTCTGGGGTTTGCTTTTTATTTTTTTGTTGGGGGTGTGATTTTGGGTATTAGACCAGCTCTGCTCCCATCCAAGCCTTTCCCCTTTCCCTGAAAGCAACTTGCTGAGATTTCCAACCATTGCAGACATGTGTCGTGGTTTGCTTAAAAACAATCACTGATCTTCAAAAAAAACCACCCCAAACAGACCAAAATAACCCCAAAACAAAGCAAAGCAGCAACACACATAGCCTCTCTCCCTCTTGGGCAGAAAAGAAATTTAAAATCTGATTTAAAGAATGCATTCAGCTTTCAGCTTTGAATGGCTCAGGTTATATCAGAAATCGCATTAATTTTTCACTCTGGGGTTTGCTTTTTATTTTTTTGTTGGGGGGGGTGTGATTTTTTGTGGTTTTTTTTTCCCTCCCCCCCATTTTTAAATGAGGTATCAATGGTTTAAAGCACAGCGCTGAGCAGAGCAGACTTTGGAAACAGATTTCAAGCCTGTTAGCCCTGGATGGCACACGGTAAGGAGCAGGGACGCTTTTCCTATTCACAAAGAAGGAAATTCAAAAAAAGGGACAAGAAAGTTGTGTACGTTCAAGACAAGTAAACATTATACATGTGTTCATGAGACTGGCAAGGAGAAATACTGTATTCCAGCTCCCCTCCCCCGTTTTTGGCTTGACTATTTTTCTTTTTATCTTCACTCTTCTACGTAACAAATAAATAAATATGCTAACACCATCAGTACATAAAATAACCCGTTTTCACTTATTCCTATGCACATCTTCTGAGACGTTATGGAAATGAGCAATTATTTTCATTACACCAAGAAAGGTAAAGCAGCACAAAAAGTTCACAATTACTAGCCTTTATGTTCAAATAAAAGACTATGCTACAAATTTCCTGTCCTCAACTTGCCCAAATGCATCCTCCCGAAATTGCACGGGATAAAAAGACAATTAAAAGTAAAAATCCCAGAATAAAGCATCAAACCTTCACTTTCGAATTCAAAACTGAAACACAGGACAGTTTCATTTTCAATGATTTATTACTTTTTATGGACAGAAGGTCTCGTTTAATATTTTCCCAATTCCCACTGCCTGCATGATGGTTTTTTTTTTCCTTTCTTTCCCCCCCCTTTTTTTTTTCCTTTTTTAGGTTGTGCTAGCAGTGGCAAATAAAATAAAGTCCAAAGTAGCGTCATTTTGTCTCCTTTGTACAACAGTACCTTAAAGAAAGATGACAGTTTCTCGAGTCCTTAGCTGCTACATGCAGGTTCTGCTTGGGCAGTGTCAGTTATGTACAGTACTGGTCAGAAGCGAAGGATGAAATGGAAAATTTCACCTCTTCTACAAAGTTGTCAAGTCAGTCTGACGGTCCTTGGAACCAGTCTGTAAATGGGGGTTTGAACCAGAGGAAGAAGACCTGCCCTTCGTGTTGGGCAGTTTGTGATCTTTTTTCCACTTCATTCTTCTGTTCTGAAACCAGATCTTGATCTGGCGCTCAGAGAGACACAAAGTGTGGGCTATCTCGATACGGCGGCGCCTGGTCAGGTACCTGTTAAAATGAAATTCTTTTTCCAGTTCTAGGACTTGCTGTCTGGTGTAAGCTGTGCGGGAGCGTTTAGGTTCCCCTCCGTTGTAATTGGGATTCACTGGGAAAAAAATACGGAGAACTTTACAAAGCTAATCTTGACTTGCCGGTTCGACTTTACAAAAGAAAACCTTACGAGCTGCGAGCATGTGGCCGGGCTGGATTCGTCCCAGTTGCTTACAATGGAGGGGCTGCTCTCCCCCTCATTTAAGGCAGGCACTACAGGCACACGCAGCTAGGTAGGCTGGGAGCCTCTAGCAGGCTCCTAAAATGGAGTTTTCTCCTGCACGGCAAAGCCCCGCATGGCCAACGGCCTATTTCCTCAGCAATAAAAATTTATGACGAGTGTAATTGGCTACCTCGGCTTAAAAAGCTCGTCCACGAGTCTGGCAGGGACTCGAGCGAGCGTCGCTGAGGACGATCGGAAGCAGGGTAGAAGAGCAAAGTAAGAAGAGGATCCTTACCCGAGTTAACATGGACTTTCTTCATCCAGGGATAAACTACTGCTGGCTGCTTAAGTGCTGACCCGTTTGGGGGTTTGAGGGCCGGCTGCTGGCTGCAGGCTCGCGTGTTGGACATTGGAGGCGGTGGACAATGCTCTGCTTGGCCGGGGAAGTGGCTCGCTGGGCCGGATTGCTCCTGTCCGTGACCCCGCGGCTGCACGGCAGAGCCTTGGGCATTGCTACAGCTAAAGGGCTGCTCGCTGTAGTTTGACCGTGGGTAGAGTCCCTGGTGCTGGAAATCAGAGCCCTGCGAGGCACTGTAGTACTCGGCCCCCTGCTCGCCTAGGTAGCTATTCTGCAAATATTCCTCGCAAGGAGGAAATTTGGGATCCACATACTTAGAGTTCACCATATACGAACTCATGGCCATTAATTTCTGAAGGTAGAAAATACTAATTTTTCTCGTGTTGTCTTTTTTTCCCCTGCCATAGAGCCCTCCTACTTGCTGTCAACTGAATAAAGTTAGGCGGGCATGTGACCGGCCCGGCCAATGGGGAGGCGGGAGCCGATCACCGGATTTCTCCGCAGCTCAGCATTTCCACCGATTTCACTCAATAACATCCCTGTAACCGAGTGACCCCCTTCTCCGGCGGGTCGCACCCCCCAGAGCAGGTACCAGAGGTGTGGGGATACTCCTCGGGCGGCGGCCGCCTCCCCGGCCCGCAGGTAGGGCCAGCCTTTTGTCTGAGCTGGCTTCCCTCAGCCCCGATGGATGATGCCCCGCCGTCTGATTTACCAGCCGCAACCGCCACCGGGGTTTGTGACCCCGCTTTAAATAAAATATCGAAAGAAATATACGGAGCGAGGAGCTGAAGTGGGGTTAAAAGGGAGGAAACTGATAGGGAGGCGAGGAAAAGAAAAGCCGTCAAAGAAGAGGGTAATATGATGTACAATAGATCTGTCCTGTCTTTGTCTCCCAGAGGTCATCCAAAAGTTACCAGAATTTAGTTGTGCTGAATAAAATTAGGCAATCAGTAACTTCTCATTCACTTTCAAGCCTCAATATATATGTGTGCATACGTATGCGCGCACACACGCAAACGCACACGTGTATATATAAATCTGTACGCCTATGTATGTAAAATCATACAGGCGGCAAGGAACCGTTCACTTTTAACTACTAAAGTTCAATCAATTGAACTGAAGACGGCATTTAATTAGGTTAAAAATATCGCGGGTTTAATGAGATAAATTCGGTCTTCATTCATCAATATCATTCCTGGAGCACAAGTAAATACATTCCAGTGAGGCGAATGCTGCTTTTGCTGCTGTCGTAAATATTTTGATGCGATCTGGACCCTTGACAGGAAAATTTTGCTAACGTCTGGCATATCCAGATAATTTATGAGTATCTTTTTAAAGATTCATTCACCGATTGGTAGATAAATTTTTTTTCCAGAAAATTTGGTGAGATTAACTGTTCAAATTCACAGTCTGTCAGTGAAAGTCACGACTGAACGACAACTGAAATTTTAAGAGACGTCCTAAAACCTAGCAAATAGGAGCGAGGCAGCAAAACTTTTATAATTTCTGAGTGTTCAGCACGCACATGCCCTTTGATTCCGCCAGTATTTAAACTTCTAACCATTTGCAGAAAGGTGAAGTTTTTGCATCGACCATATATTCCCCTAGAATCGAATCTGTGACTATATGAATATCACACAAATTCGGTTCTACAGGGTATATATAGACAACGTAATAACATTCTGTTTTCATCTACAATATAGCAGGTCTTTGCAATTCTCTTAGTCCTTACTGTCTTCTGAGGAATGCAAACTATTCTGCTGGGACTCAGTTCTGAAATACGGATTTGCAGGAAGGTGGGATTTCAGAAAAGATTCACGCTTGTTATTATTGCTGCAATAGAGCTATACGACTCTCCACCAATTTATAGCGATGAATATCGCCTACCAAATTCTCAGAAAGACCTGCTGCTCACTTTAAATGCTCTGCCGTTTACGTCCTCGCTACGGAAAACGGACGTTACCGGTCAAATTGCGCTATTTAGGATAATAATGGTTAAAATAATTTAGAAAAAAGCCTTTATCTATTTAGGCTACCACGAATCTGAAGAGATTCTCCATAATTAGAAACACACACACCCCCGCCCCAGACAAAAAAAGAATTAAAAACAAAATCGAAACAGAAGTAAAACAGCCGACAACAGAAACAGCGATTGGTGAAAAAGAGGAGATTAAAGGCTGGAGTTAGTTGCTCTCGGGAAGAAGAGAGTTTCCAAATTTACCTTCGTCCCATTATGCTGGTCTACTATTATCCCCGCGAGCTGCCTGCGAGCCGCAGCCTCGCACCCTCCCAGGTTCTCCCCGCCGTAGCGTTTATGGTGAAGGGCAGGGCGAGAGGTCAGCCGAAATCATTTACAAACATATCACAAAGTTTCATTATTTTTACTTTGTCGACAGCGGCACACAGGAGTACAAAAGTTCATGAATTGTGTCTGACCCAGCTCCTCACTGCTGTCCTGCGGTCAACCTCTTCTCCTTCCACTATTTAAAACAGGCACCATAAGGACAAATAATGGTGCGGGTGTGATACATCCAACCACTGCGGAGGGCAGATTTGGGGGTGTTGCGTTTATCCGAGCGATGTGTACCGGTTTGCTTGCCTGCCTCCAACTCTCAGCTGCCTGATCTGGGGGATGCTATTTTTAAACATCTGCTTTCTTAGCACTGCGGTGGTGTCTTCTTCACAGCAAGTGCAACTCGAAACGACTTTGTGTCCCTAATCTCTCCCCCCCGGGGGGGTTATTAAGCACCCGGCTGAACTGGCAGGGGAACACACACCCCCCAAAACCCAGCGCGTTTGGGGGGGGAGGGTGGATACCTCCCCCCCGGGGGGGTTATTAAGCACCCGGCTGAACTGGCAGGGTAACACACACCCCCCAAAACCGAGCTTGCGTTTGGGGCAGCCCCCGGGAGCGGACAAGCCCGCCGAGGGCTGCCCGGGGAGAAGCGATGGGGCTGTGGAAGCAAGCAGCTCCCCGCTCTGCTTAATACTACGCATTTTCATATTTGTTAGACGCTGTGACCTGCGTTTCACCTTATTGCACGACTTGCTCAGACAGGTCAAAGCCAAAGAGTTATTGATGAACAAAAGCGTTATATATTCACCTCCTGTTCAACTGCCCGTACGAAATGCTTTTGATCTATCAGGCTTTTTGTATTCTGGTTCATAATCAGTATGCTAAATGTACGTTGGCAGAAAACAAGTAATCCATACATTTAGGGCCGGCCCTGGAATAAAATGCCAAGGGCATCTACATAGCGCAGGGCTGAGCTGCGGGGGGAGGAAAGTTACCTATGGTAATTAAAACTGCAACGCTGGAGGCGATTCTTCAGTTCGTATTTAAAGGGCTCGAAAACCAATATCTCAACGTAAGACAAAAAGAGAAGGAGAAGCTTGGCACAAGCAGTGAAAGAGATTATCAGCAAGCAAGGAGAGGAAACAGGGAGAAACGCAAACACAGCTCCGCTCCTCTACATGCTCCCGGTCAGAGCGGGGCTGGCAGAAGCAGGGAGGGCAACGTCTACCTAATGAATCTCCAAATATCGCAGGCTTCCTTTTCCTCCTTGAGAGACAAGCCGGTCTCAGTCTGAAGCACCAGGACTGATGCACTTAGCTCCCTCCTTTCTGCAGCCAGAAAGGTTCCACTGCACTTCCTGCTCCGCACTGATCTGCTGCCCTCCCCTCGGTCCCCCCAGCGCAGCTCGTGCGGGACCATCGGGGATGCGAAAACCCCTACGGTACGAGGTTGCCCTCCTAAGCTCAGGTACCCATGCCCCTCCGTGCCTTCACAGCATTTAAATCCACTTTTGACTCTCCCTTGCCCGGAGAGACCTAGTACCGGAGGATCAGCGCTACCGCCCCGCACGACCCGGCTGCGGCGTGGGCTGGCCCGGCTGGCTAGCGCCGACAGCCTCCAGAGCTACCGCCTCTTTCACTCATTCACCAGGCTATGCCAAACGAGGTTAACATTCGATAGCAGGCACAACTCTGCTTTGAATCCCGTCTGGAGAAAAGAGGGGGAGTAGCCAAGGTTATGAGGCGCTGGGACACAACGTGATCCGTCCGGGCTCTGCGCGGGGAGGCGCTGTACGGTCCCACCGAGTTAAAATGGAAACGCTGCTAATTGCCTCGGAGTGTGAGAGCAGGAGGACACCTGTACAGCCCTATAATAAACCCTCAGGAGACTGCACCTCTACCTTTAACGCTAGCCAGGATTATGACACGGTACCGCAAGCCGACTCCACAAGAGCCTTCACATGCTGACATAGTCTTTTTTCCTTTTTTTTTTCGGTAGCAATATTCAGCAGGGATACATCGGTTTTAATTCTTCCAGTCTGAAGGGAAGGAACAGGATTTTCAAGCATCACAAACTCTACGAGAAATAAGAGGTTACTTACCGTGGGTGTCCTCCCATGCTGCCGAACCTGTTGCAATAAAAACGTTTGTTACTGTTGTATTCCACATACGGGTGATATTTCTGGAGAACAGTTAGAGACCACGTTTGATAGATGAAGGCAGAGAGGAGCTGGTGGTAAATCCTGCGAGCAGCGGAGTGGTGGGGTGGAAGCCCCTTCCGAATGAGGACCACGTTGCATTCAGGCAGTTTTTTATGAATACATGCTTTCCCTGTGTCCGGGATGTGATCTTTCACTTTTAATATTCATAGCCTAGATTTTATACCGGATAATTTCTAAAGGGATGAAAAGTCAGACCTGCCTCTTTCACTGATGGAAAAAAAGAATAACAAAGGCCTTTTTTTTTGTTCTGTGGCGATCCAGTCACTTACAAATGAAATATTCAGATCACCTTTGCTAAACCATCACCCATAAAATGTCACAATATGCCACGCAGCATCGTATCCATGCTGAGCACAGAAAGAACTACAGTTTTAGAAGAATAAATCTCAGATTACTCTAGGATAGGTCCCCTTTAAGATCACCTAATTAACCAAACAGTAACCACGAGACATGCGTCTTTGTTTGCATTATAGAAGGACGAATTTGACTTGAACTTTCCTTCAAATCTTTTAATAAATACTTTCAAAGATCACATTAAGGAAAACAAAAACGCGCTCAGTCTAACGCTCTTGAAACGCGTCGTATATTTGAAAGTAAAATACTAATATTGGGGGTTTCTTTTCTGTAAGCGATTTTTCACCCCTTCTATTGCCTTCCTGCGATATCTTGGAGACTTATTGTATTGCACACAGAGCAATTGCCTCGGTATCAATAGTTCACTAGATAGAGCTTCCCAAGACTGTTTTTGTTAAAAAAATATTTTTTCAGTTCTGCCCACGCTTGATAGCATTCAGAGCTTGCAAGGACAGTGGAATAATATCAGCGTTTCGGCACTAAACATTCCCTTACCATTCCTTTCCTTTCTTTTTTATCCTTTTTTTTTTTTTTTTTAATAAAAAAGGTCAGCTTCAAGTAAGATGTC